CTAAATCCTAAACCCTAAACCGTTGAGAAATACACAATCTGCGGCCCAAAAGACATCCTCTTCCAAGGCTGCCAAAGTATCTTCGAGACTCTTCATCTCCTGGGTATTTGGGGTGTTGGGGAGTTGAGGGGTTTAGGGGTCTAGGAGTTTAGGATTTAGGGGTTATGGGTATTTGGGGGGTTTCGGAGTTGAGAGGTTTAGGGGTTTAGGGTTTAGAGTCCCCATTAAGTAGATAGAATATGGGGTAGATTGGGATCTTTGTATAGTATACCCAATGCCATATTCTATCTACTTAAGGGGGACTTTAGGGGTTTGAGGGTCTAGGAGTTTAGGATTTAGGGGTTCTCATCTTCATGGCAGCCCTTCTTAGGAATGATTCGGGCAAAGTACGGCTGAACCTAAAGGGGCGGGAGGAGGGGTCGTAGGGCAACCCGTGAGTGCGGGGATAATCTAAACCCTGAACTCTAAGCCCTGAACTGTGTACAGCAAAATCACCACCCTAAACCCTAAACCCTTAAACCACTTCCAAGCCCAGTGGCCATGCCGATCAGCTTTCCCAACAGCTGCTGCTCCAGGCCCTTCAAGGTCACCGTGAAGTCGATGACCTTCGTTTAGGGTCCTTTGTTTAGGGTTTGGGGGTTTAGGGTTCTAGGGTAAAGGGCTTTGGAACTACGTGGCACTTTGGACAGAAAACTTGCTTACAATCCTGAATAGCCCTCAGTCCTCACACCCTAAACCATAAACCGTTCGCCCAAGGTCTAGAGCCACGTAAGCACGAGGCCACAAGCCTGGAACCCAGCACCAAGATCTAGGCTAGGTAGGTATATTACGCAACACTAGTGTTATCCAGAATGGCAGATTCTAAGCGGCCATGGGACACTACCTGGTAGTAATCTTAAACCTTAAACCCTAAACCCTAACCCCTAAACCATAAACCTTACAATACTAAACCCTGACCCTTCCCGGGATCCAAGTGCCCAGCTGTGGCTTTGGCGGACAGCTCTGGCGAGAAGTGCGGATTCGGCAGACGAGAGGTGAAGTAGAGCGTGAAGTTTTCCTTCGCTATAGGGTTGAGTTTGTTTTTTTATCGGGCCTTTTTCCACCAGGCTTGAGGGTTTAGGGGTCAGGGTTTATGGTCCAGGTTTTATATGTGTGTAGGGAACTGCAAAATCTCCGAACACTGGGAACCTCGCGAAGCTCAAGCAGGCGCATGCTTCCTAGTTGTGGGCTTCTTCCACACAAGGCCCAAAGCCGGACTCACGAGTAGCAGAGACTGTATCTTAAAATGCGGCCCCCACAAACACCTACATGGCAGGAGACCACGTGGAGGTTTCTGAGTGGCTAGAATTGCGGTTGTGAACAGGGGAATCTATAGTTATGACTGGTTGATGATAACCTTCTTTAGCCATTTATAACACCAGCCATGGCTACCTGGGAACCTACCAGGAGAGACCGCAAACTCCCGCACCCCAGACCCTTACGGACAAAAGGGATGCCGAGGGCTGCACAAAACGGAGTTTTGTAGAGGCCTAGATTGGGATAGGCGTTTGGCAGGTTGGTACCCTAAACCCTAAAACCCTAAACCGCCCTTGAAAAGAATCATGGAGCACAGAATATGGAATCTGAAAAATTGTATCCGCCTCAGTTTTTTGAGGGTTTAGGGTTAGGGTATAATGGAAAAGAAAATGGCAGCTACTATACCTGTTATATAGGGATAATGGATTGGAGAATGGAAGCTGCTAGGCTTCTGCATGGACTACTACAAGGATGATAAGACGATAGCACTGGTAATCCTTCAAGCTTCTACAAAAAACCAAACAGCATACCCTAAACCCTAAACCCTAACGCCCAAGAGTCCTTGTAGTCCATGTTCTGATCACTGACGTTGATGTAGAGGTTCTTGCCTTGGAGTGTCATGTAAGGGCCTAATTAAATAAGGTTTGGGGTTTAGGGAATTGCCAACATTATGTCGTAGCGATATGTTTGAGTACGTACTGAAGTATGGAAAATCAACAGGAAGAGCAAGTGGGAAATGGAATGGAAATAGGCATGATCCTGAATAATTACCTGAACTGTTTATGGTCATCTTTGAGGCATCCTATACCTTAATTCTACGAGGAACCAAAGAAAGCAACATATTGGTGTAACTGTTCAGGCCCCTACGGAGTCCTACTGTATCCTTGGCATCAGGGATATTGCATGACATGCGACAGATTGACGTTCAAGAAGCTTGCAGCTAATCATCAAAACCTGTGCTGAGGATGTCCTGAAGGGGGGGGTGGTCCAAGGGGGGTAGGTAACTTAGTAATCCCAATTGTTCCCCAATGTTCCTTAAGCTTCCTTAAGGTTCCCCAAGGTTCCCTAATACCCTCCCACTTAGAACCACCCCCGCTTTAGGATCCCATAATGTGCGCGCGCATCACGACCATACAATCGGCACACTAACTTGGAAACACTAGTGCCGGGATTGCTGTTCAGTTTGCCTGTTCATACGGGTAACGAGAAATAATTCTACGTGTGCGGATAGCAATGAACCATGCGCAAGCGGAATAAGCTTCGTTACTACGTACATGCTGGTTGCCAGGCGGCCCTTCTTGATGATCTGCTTGTCCAAGACTGGATCAAGCATGGGGTCGACCTCGTTCTCAACATTCTCAATGATCAGGCACAGACCCTCGCCTGAGAAGCGTTTTTGTCGGTTGAACCCAAATCAGGCTACATGAGCAATAGTGTATCCCCCATAATACGCCCTCTAACACTCGCCTATCTTCTCCCCTATATACTACCCTTTAAGGAGTTTAGACTAGAGCTTATTTTGTGCCTTATAGAATGACATGCCACAAGGTAGGAACTCTCTATTGGGGACTTTAATACCCCGCATCAGCCAGTTCTGCTGCAGAAGAACTGCTGGCTTCCATCGCATGAGTCGCAGCTCAGGGTTTAGGGTAGGGTTTAGGGTCTGGAGTCCTGGGTTCAGGGTTTGGGGATTAGGTTTCAGGGTAGAGGGTTTGAAGTCTTTTTCTTTAAGCATTCTGGGTTCTAGGGCTTTGGGGTTGATGTTTGGGTGACCGTTCTCCGGTTACCCCGACGAGCGGCCCATGGTAAACTCGATCTGGTCCTTCAAGTTCTTGGCGGCCAGGGTGGTGATGCCTCAGGTGCTGTTTGGCTTACTGGTGCTGAGGGGGAGTGGGGGAGTGAATATAGGTCGCATTGTAGGGTATATATGGGGACTATATTATGATCCATAATCTAAACTCCTAGTATCCCCATGATAACCCCTAAAATGCTCCCCCACATAATCCCCTATATAACCGCCTTTAAGGAGCCTAGATTATCGCTCATATAGGGGTTATTGTAGGGACCCACTCCCTAAACCCCAAACCCTAAACCCTGTTAGAGGCACCCACTCCTGCACTTTGCCTAAAGCACCTGCAATTTGAGTGGGGTTTTGGCTTCCTTGGTTGAGGTTTAGGGTTCCCTTCAGGGCTCCACATTTTCCTTGGAAAAGAGGTAGTAGAGTTGACCCTAAACCCCTAACCCTAAACCCTGAGCCCTAAACCCCTAACCCTAAATGAGCCATTGTCTAAACTCCTAGTATCCCCCTTATTAACCCCTATAGTAGTCCCCTATATAACCCCCCTTTAAGGATTTTAGACTATAGCTCAAATGGGCTTAGGTTTTAGGATTTAGGGCTAACCTCGCAACAAGTAGACCTTGGATTGCAGCTTCGCAGTTGCACGGCTTGGGAATCGTAATTGGGTTTACGGAGTTTAGGGTTTGGCGTTTAGGGCGTTTAGTGTTTTCAGGGTACGGTTTGGCTTTTTCGTGTTTACGGTTCTGAGGGCTTGGGGTTTTCAGGGTTTGGGAAGACGTTTAGGGTTTTTTATGTTTAATTTCTTTGGGTTGTGAAGGTTTGCGGTTTTTGGGCTTTTAGGGTTTCTGCAGTTTTAGCGATTAGGGTTGTTGGGGCTTTTAGGGTTCAGGGTTTGTCGGGTTTAGGGTTCAGGGATAAGGGCTTTTCCGGGCTGTAGGGTTCAGGGTTCTCAGGGCTCAGAGTTTGTGGTTTCTAGGGATGCGCCCATAGCATGAGCTGAAGCATTTCCATGCAGCAACATGGAACGAAGCCTTGCAGTTAGAGCATTGCTCTTCAAATCTCAAGCTTTGGTGGTTTTGGTACAAAGTCTAGATAAGTAGCATGCATTGTGTGGGCTTCATGCCTCTTCCTGGAAGCTGATTGAAATGCACAGAGACGACTGCAACTTCAAGTCTTCGCCGCGAAGAGTTGGCGCTTCAACAGCAAGGTGCTGCAAATCACTTTCAGGGAAACACAAAGGCAACTCAAATGTTCCACTCAAAGCCCTGAATTGTACGGGTCCTTCGCACATGATGGGGATTAAGGCCTGATATGCTACTACTGCAATTCAACTCTCCTGTACCTTTAGCTCCTTTCGTGCCCCCCCCCCCCGCTAAATGCCATCCATGGCACACATTGTCGGGTTCTCGCTGATGCGCGCCTTCTCTCTGGACTTGATCCAGCGATTGGCTTGTCCTGCGGCGTTCACCTAGCCCCTCCACCTACCCTCTACTAAGGCCTAAGTACGCGCTACTAGGGGCAATATCTGCCCCACCCTAAGCCCTGAACTCCAAACGCCCCAATTCAGGGTGCTAGGAAAGTCTTGGCAAGGTGTCACCCATTTGGTGACAGGGTTTCAGGGTTAAGGGCGTCATTCTCGCGGCCTGATTAGGGTTTCGGGCTGAAACTGTTTTAGGGTTTAGGGTCTCTCAAATATGGACGTACTGAAGCAAGAGATGAACAAGGGCTACTTGCATCCCCCTTAATAATTCTATAGTAGTCCCCTATATTATACGATCCCTTATAACCCCTCTAAACCCTAAACTCTAAACCTTAACGAAGTAGATTATGGCTCACTGGGGGATTTTCGGTCTGTGTTAAACTGGAACGCCACGCGGGGGTGCTTATCAGGGAGTGACTTGAGGGCCGGAAAGGCGAAGCCTGTTCTGAAGTTCATGGAGTTAGCCATAAGCTGGGTTTAGAGTTTAGGGTTTAGCAACTACTGCACTTTAAATACTTAGCTGTACCTCCCCATGGGGCTCTAAGTGGATCCCAGAAGTCTGGGAACCTGCATGGTTATCCCCAAGCAACCCTGCACTGAATTCTGAAGCCCCAAACCCTGGACCCGCAGCTCTAAACCCCAAATCCTAGACCTAAAACCCTCAACCCTAAAC